GCGAGATTCACTGCATCTCAAGGCCAGCGTGGAGGAGGAGGGCAGGCAAGTGTCAATCTTGGATATAAATTTGAGAATGACAGTTAATCCCTCAAGAGAATCAAATGTATTTATTGTTTACATCTTTAAGGCTTTAACACTGAGGCTTCTTGAACAGGAATTGCACATGATAGTCAGAAGAGACTCGATATATCCTACGTTATCGGAAAGGTTTTCTTCATGGACACACCCAAGATTTACAACAAAGGATCAGATTGGAGGGAAAAGTAAGTGCACGCTCACCACTTATGCATCAGATCCTGTACACAGTCCAACCTTGTATTCTTAGTCGTACACCTTTGTGCTTTTAACAGGTCAAAGCTGTTACTTACGACAACACGCCCATTCCTGACATGAAGGTGCACCTGTTTGAGGAGAGAGGTGGTCATCCCGTCTGCTGCAGAATCTCACAACTGATAGTGAGGGTGTCGCAGCTTTCACGATAAGCACAGCTGAGTTTAAACAAGACATCAGTTGTCGTAGTACGATGTGAAACTGCACTAAAAACTAAGACAACATCAAAACACACAAAAGGCCAAGACCTAAATTATAATATGCTTCTACTGATCCTCTCAGATCATCTGTACAATATCTGCATATGACTGGATTTTGGAGTCTTATGAAGAGAAATGTACTGCTTTCTGTTTTGTTGAGACTAAAGCCTGGTACACCTACACGATTTTTTAAATCTTAAACGATTTTGAAAACGTGAGAGACCCACACATGACAACAATCCTGACTGATTAACAGTTCAGATCGCACAGTGTGTGGTGTGTCGAGTTGATCGTCTTGTTGCACACCACACACTAACCGATTCATTCGCCGACAACCAGAGTCTCGACTATCACAAAGTGTAATCTTGCGCAGTCAGTCCGATTTAAGAGAAAACAACATGACGGGCAAACTAAATGTGGCTAGCTGTTACTGGTACATCCATTACGGTAAAATTTTGGTCAAAGTCCTTTCCTTGTCAGTGGATCGTTGTTTTACAGGACACGTTGTATAATAATCGTGTTGTTGCCACAAATCAACAAGTTGGTCCTGAATTCATGACATCCATTTAACTTTATGCTTCCGATTGCTGTTGTCGCCATGGTAATGTTTGTTGTGCTTCCTGCTTCAGTCAGCTTGCTTCCTATTGCTATTGTTCCGTTCCACGTGACAATTCACAGAGACCGTGCTTGGCCGTCAACAACAGGATTTCTGATCGTAAATGTTGAACACGTTAATATTTACGATTTTAAATCAGGGCGCACCGATCGTCTTCCTAGCAGATCGGAGAGGTTAAAATCAATCTTAACACACCTCACACCACAGGAGAATCTGACCAGATAATCTTTGGAACATCAGATAGTCAGGCCTTTGCTGACTTTGGTCGGAAGGAGGGAATCAGGCCCAAAATCGGCCCGATTATCTTGCAGTGTGAATCCCGCTTTAGTTGAGTTGACCAATCGTGTTGAATGGGATTTGGTTTCTTTGCAGGGAAACATCCTTGTCGAGAACAGAATATGTGATATACAGATTTCGTCTTCCATCAGTTATAATGATCAACAGTTATGCCTTTTAGGGATCTGTATCAACATGTATCTACAAACACAAAACAAAACATACAGACATAAAATCTGATGATTGACATCATACCCATTACTCCCATGTCGGGATAGTAATAATAAGTTACACAGAGGTTCTGAAGTTGTATACTGAGTTGACTACCAAGTTTTTATACTATGCAGTATATTACTCCATCATAGTTTACCCTGGTTTACTTCAGCGGCATAAACCTGAACAAGATACTGTGTACTTGCAATAAACAGGTTTAAAGTTCAAACCCGAAAATAACATGATGCAGTGTGCAATTTTCCAGAGGAGGGGGGATGGAATTCAAATTGAAATTATTCTCTCTTTGTTGAATTTGGTTTAAGGTCAACAGACGTAGGCTCATTTCTGAACTTCACTCCACAATCTAGGTAAGCAGCAAACCCTCAGTGAGGTACACGGCATCGATCTCCTTACTACCAAACCGGAGAGCACACACTGACCTTGGTCAACCTTTTGCTCCAGAAACTAAAACAATCAGCTCCCTGGAGGTGCAGAAGAAGGATCAACCACTGGCCTGTGACACAGAAGAAGAAATCTTTATCCGTTTCGTTGTAGTTGGGGAAGCCCAGGGCTCTGCGGATGTGATGTATCTGGTAGGTGAACTGTTTCTAAGTATATTCATATCTTATATCAGTTTGTAATCTGCTGTAATGAGAATGAGGTGTCACTGTGAGAGAGTATTACTTATTCTATGTGTCTTTTAAACTCCACAGTCTTATCCCGAGGAGTCATTGTATGGCAAGGATTCAAACAGGTTGAAGTCCAAGATAATCAGGTATTAAAATATTGGCTTTATCATGAATCAGGAACTTTCTTGCCACGAGGGCCCAGAATGTAAATGTTTGTCTAACCTCTCAGGTTAAAGATTTCTTCACTAGAGGGAGCAGGATTTCATATCTTTTTGGTAACCCAGAGGTTGTTCACTCAACAAACACAAACTGAACTTTGTTTTAAAGCCACTGAGAACCTAAATCCATAAAAGTCTTCTTACTTTGTAATAAGGTCTCCTGTATATAAGAGGGCATCTAAAGTATCAAAATTCCAAGCACTGTTTAAGATTTTTGTTAACTTTTACTGTAGTGGATTTGGTGTGGTTATATTTGAATATTTATTATGAAATGTTAAACAATAATTTAAATCATGGTGATTCCCAAAATAATGGACTGGGAGCCTAAGGTCAGGCCCGGAGTTATGATAGGGGACCTGGCAACGCTTAAAGGCAGTGTTGTAATTTTCAAAACTAGCATGATTTGAGAGTAGCATTCCTCGTGTTCCGTCTGCACATCCCCTCCCTCTTGCTCCCTCAAAAGCCACGCCCCTCACTTACATGCGCAAGCGCCATTTGTCAAGAAGCGGACCTCAGTCATGCTTTGAGTGTGGCTCGTTCAAGCATGGGGTAGAGAACGAGCAGGGAGACAGGGAGGCGTGTGATTGGTTCATCAGATTGGTACCTCGTGTAGACATTGGTCAAAGTTTTTATAGGCTTACAACTGATACAGATGACGGATTTTCTTTGTTCCTTTTTCAGAGCACATGAGTTATTAATTTCTGTCAGGACCCAAAACAAGTTCAACCAAAATATTAAAAAGTGATTTAGAGAAAATGATCAACCTTACCTTTAACCTAAACAATGCATATTGTTTTTCGCAAGCAAAGCATGGGAAATAATTTGAACTTATTCAGCAAAGACTTAAAGACTCAAACCTTCCAACCAGACGTCACAATTTCAGTTTAGTTCGCTTGCTAGTGTTTCAGTTTGTCACACACTGAACTGCTATTCTGAACTTTTTGCCAATCTGAACTTTCAAAATATTGTCAATGAGACGAACATCTTGTGTTTAGATGAAGGGTGGGGCACATTTTCATCTTCCCTGAAAAAAAGTTCCAGAACCACTGAATTAATCAATCATACGAAGTGTGATATCACATTCAGCCAGCCTGATGAAGCCACAGGCGAAACGCGTTGTTCGATCACAATAAAATGCAGTTATTTTCAGTGTGCCACGGAGTTTGATTTATTTTTCATGGTTTGTTCCTTCAAGTTGCAACTTTGCGCACCTGAGAACATATCGGTTGTTGCACGGGGAACCTGTTGACCATGTTATAATTCTGTCTATTAAAAGCCTGTTTCACTTTTTCAGTGACTGAGGGCGAGATGTCCTTTAAGTTCAGAGTGTCCCCTGAGATGTCCCCAGACGTCCAGGTTGTGGCTTACGCTGTCCTCCCCAGTGAGACGGTGATCGCCCACAGTTCTGACTTCTCCACTGAGAAATGCTTCAGGCACAAGGTCAGTGTTGACATCTCCCAGATTTGTTGGTTTTGAAAATAGTTATTGTTGTCCCATTGACAACATCAGTTTTTCCTTGTGTCAGGTGTCGCTGGAGTTTTCTCCGTCCTCAGCTGTCCCAGGAGAAGAAAACACCCTAAAGTTGACAGCCCAGCCGGACTCTCTGTGTGGTGTGAGCGCTATCGACCAGAGCGTCCTCATCAAGGAGCCCGGGAAAACTCTGGACGCAGAAAAGGTAAATGCTTCAATAAGTGCCTATTAGTCTCCTTCAAGAACCAGGTGACTCTTTTTAACATGACAGACCAATATTTCCCCTGTTGGAAACTCATTGGAAACTCATTGGAAACTCATTGGAAACTCATTCTTGCTGCCATTCCTTTCTTTTCAGATATTTAATCTGTTGCCAGTCAGAAAATCTACCCATATTCCATACTCAGCTGAAGACGCTTTAGAGTGCCTGACAGTAAGATCAAAAAGATCCATTCTGCCTTACCGCTCATGGCGTGCCGAAGATGATGCTTACAACGTTTTGCAGGTAATTCTTGTGCAATGTTTCCAATATTAAAGGTTTGGTTGTTGTTTTTAATACATTTTTAAGTAATCTTTCTTTGTTGTTATCTAGAATGTTGGGTTGAAGATGGTAACCAATTTGTTTATTCGGACGCCATCGTGCCTCATCTATAGAGGAGAACAATACCACCGGGGCTATGGTGACTTTTTATCTTTAATTTATCATACTTGCTCATTGAATTTGTCATTGTTTGGTATTGTTGTTTTTTTGCATCTGTTTGATAAGGAGCCTTTCCCGAGCCATTCAGAAGCTGTTGTAAAATATAAATCAGAACATCCTCATGTTCTGATGAAATATTTTCCGGGTTCTCTACAGGATACAGAGTTTATTACTCTATGGCGAGTCCTCTTGTGCCGGACAACATCTTGGGTGGTTCATTTAGTCCTGTCAATGAGGAGTCTTCAGTTATAGAGACAGTCCGCAGTTTTTTCCCTGAGACTTGGATCTGGGACCTTGTGAAAGTTGGGTGAGCTTCTATTACACGACTGGCAAAATGTACCAAAGATTTTCAAACTTTTACACATGATGGTATGCAGTGATGCCTGCAGGATTAAATGTTATAGCATGCACTTCACGATAAGGCGCTAGAAATGTTTTGATGTTATATCGTTACGTCATTATGTTACACCAAAGATTCACATTCAAATCCATGTGTCATGTGGTGAGTGGAGCGGCCAAAGACCTCATCTTAAAAACAAAAGGGTGGAAAGAAAACCTTAAGAAAAAAGGAACCAAAATGCAGTTTAGACAATTACAACAAACTGGAAATTAATTTTTAAATGATATGGGTTTAAGGCCGAGCTCAGACTACAAGGACGGTGAAATGCCAACTCCACCCTCCCATTGACTGGCGGAATCTGGAGTAGGTCCTTGTTCAGTACTTCCTATTATTTGTTGATGTGAGCGTTTTACAGTAAGCATCTTATTTTAATTAACCAAACAGCTTACAGACTCACATCAAGCCCCCTGATGATATGAAATGCCTGTGCTTCATAAAAACATGGCTTAGGTCTTACTCTCCAAGCAGGATCACAACAGCCAATCAGAGAAAAGATAAAAAATGGGTTTACTTACGAAGTGTTTGTTGATCCATCCCATACAGCTTTGATGCTGATGGTAAGGTTGTAATCAGGTTTGAAAGCACTTAAATAATGTTGGACTGTTTAATTTTTTAACTGTGAAAACTCTTAATGCTGTTATTCAGTGTGACAATTAGTGTCAGATTTCCTGTAGAGAAATCTGAGATCTCTTGAAATTTTCAAGCCATAACGGAGACCGATGTGTTTCTTTGTTTTTGCTGTTTCAGAGAGTCTGGGACAAAGGATGTGCCCCTCACTGTTCCTGACACCATCACCACCTGGGAGACAGAGGCTTATTGTTTGTCCCCTCAGGGTTTCGGTTTAGCTCCTCGTAAAGAGCTCACTGTCTTCCAGCCTTTCTTCCTGGAGCTCAGCCTGCCTTACTCCATCATCCGAGGCGAGAACTTTGAGCTGAAGGTGACCGTCTTCAACTACCTGTCCAGCTGCATCATGGTAATGAATGTTTTTACCCCTACAACATAACAATGTGAAATGTTTGCTTTAATATCCGAAAAGAACCACTACTTGTCTTGGTCTCAACACTTCCACAACCTGAAGAAGAACAGATCTGGTCAGTGCCTGAAGAAGGCCCTGTAGCATCCCTCCTACCTTAGACAATATGATTTTAAGCTTGAAGAGCCCCTGGCGTCACATCGAGTTTACCCCCGCTGCACTGACAGCATCCGTTTTCTTTTTTATTGAATCTAACAAAGCTCTTCTGAAAGTGGTGAAACAGGTGTCCTACTGGTTAATCTGTCCCAGTAAAGCAAGTACTAACAACGCACTTGTATGTCTTTTAATTCTTGAAATCAGTTAAAATAACGTAAAAAAACAAAACAATTAACACACGCAGTCATGCATAATCAACTTTATTATCTGGATCCAAAGTTTATCAATGTCATTATGAAGAGCTTGTCTGGATCTTTTTTCAGATTGATTAATTGTTTGCATTTTGAACATCATAAAATACAGAGTTGTCTCTTTTGAACAGGTCACTGTGACTCCAGCCCCCTCCTTGGATTACACCCTCACCCCCCTCTCTGGTGACCAGTACACATCCTGTTTGTGTGGCAACGAGCGCAAGACCCTCAGCTGGATCATGGATCCCACAGCTTTAGGTGAGGACACTCAACGTTTTTACTCATACTCTCCTGAAAATGTCGAGTAAGTTTCAGACAGGCTGTTCCTGATATCTTCCTGAGTCACTTGCAGGAGGCGTAACGAGACATAAAAAGAACAACACTAACGTGGCAGATAAAGCAATCCGATAAAGCGTCCATCGGTTCTGGAACCAAACTCCTGGAGAGGGTCTGGAGTCTCTCTTTTTCTGGAGTGAAAAGAGGATGAGAGGCGCCAGGCGGGTGTGGTGATACTCACAAGCCCCCGGCTGAGCGCCGCTGTGTTGGAGTTTTCCCCGGTAAACAAGAGGGTCACCTCTCTGCGACTTCAGGTTGCAGAGAGGAAGGCTCTGACTGTTGTATGTGCATATGCACATAACAGCAGCTCAGAGTACACGGCCTTGTTGGAATCTCTGGTTGGGTCCTGGAAGACTCTATAGTTCTGCTGGGGGACTTCAACGTTCATGTGGGCGATGACGGGGACACCTGGAGGGGAGTGATTGGGAGGAACGTCCTGCCCGATCTGAACCCGAGCGGTGTTTTGTTGTTGGACCTCTGTGCTAGTCATGGATTGGCCATAACAAACACCATGTTCAAACATAGGGATGTTCGTAAGTGTACCTGGTACCACAGCACCCTAGGCCAAAGATTGATGATCGACTTTGTAGTTGTTTCGTCAGATCTGCGGCCGTATATTTTGGACACCGTATGTGAGTTGAATCAGATGGCGGGGAAGGCTGCCGGACAGACCTGGCAAACCCATACATGTAGTGCGGGTGAATTTGGAACGTCTGGCAGAGGCCCCTGTCCGTGAGGTCTTCAACTCCCACCTCCGGAAGAACTTCTCCCTCATCCGGGGGGGAGGTTGGGGACATGGAGTCCGAGTGGTCCATGTTCAAATCCTTCATTGTAGAAGCTGCGGCTAGGAGTTGCGGCCAGAAGACTGTCGGTGCCTGTCGTGGCGGCAACCTTAGAACCCGCTGGTGGACACCAGTGGTGAAGTAAGCCGTTAGGCTGAAGAAGGAGGCCTTTCAGGCTTAGTTAGCCCAGGGGTCTGTGGAAACAGCTGACAGGTATCAGGTGGCTTGGAGGGCTGTGGCTTCAGTTGTTGCGGAAGCAAAAACCTGGGTGTGGGAGGAGTTTGGGGAGGCTTTGGAGAAGGACTTTCGGTTGGCCTCAAGGAAGTTCTGGCAAACCGTCCGACGGCTCAGGAAGGGAAAGCAGGGCTTGCCCCGGGCTGTTATCACACAGGGTGGAGAACTGCTGACCCGAACTAGGGACATTGTTGGGCGGTGGAAGGAATACTTTGAGGAACTCCTGAACCCAGACAACACGTCCTCTGAAGAGGAGGCAGAGTGTGAAGATCCAGGGGAAGCCTTACCACTTACCTTCGCAGAGGTCACTGAGACAGTTAGAAAGCTCCTCAGTGCCAATGCGCCAGGTGTGGATGAGATTCACCCTGAGTTGCTAAAGGCTCTGGACATTGTTGGGCTGTCTTGGCTGACACGCCTTTTCAATGTCACGTGGAAATCTGGGACAGTGCCTGGACAGGCAAACCGGTGTGGTGGTTCCCATTTTCAAAAAGGGGGACCGGAGGTTGTGCTCCAATAATCCAAGCATCACACTTCTCAGCCTTTCGGGGAAAGCTTACTCTAGGGTGCTGGAAAGGAGGCTCCGGCCGATTGTTGAACCTTGGATACAGGAGGAACAACGTGGATTCTGTCCCGGCGGTGGGACAGTGGACCAGCTCTTTACCCTCGCAGGGCTTCTTGGGGGAGCATGGGAATTTGCTCATCCAGTCTACATGCGTTTTGTGGATTTGGAGAAGGCTTTTGACCATGTCCCTCGGGGGATCATGTGGGGGGTACTGCTCGGATAAGCTGAAGAAAATGGATGGATGGATGGATGGATGTTTTACTCTAGTGAAAACAGTCTATCTGGCATATAATTTATAATGTGTTTTTCCCCTTTGTTTCAGGGGTTGTGAACGTGTCTGTGACCGCTGAGGCTGTGGCGTCTCACGCTTCATGTGACAATGAGATAGTGAGCGTGCCAGAGAGAGGTCGTGTCGACGTGGTCACAAAATCCCTCATTGTAAAGGTTTGTACATTACAACACAATGAAAAAGAATCTGTAACTCATAGAGCGAAACTCAAATTAATATATCTGGATTTTATTTACTTGAATCTATGCACTCACCCTGCTTTTATTTGGGGTTGACCTCTATATGAGACAGCACTCTGGCTTTGTTGTCATCTTTCTTTTTTTCTTGGATCAACAGAGAAATATCTGGCTGCTGCTTCTCCTGATTTGTGTTAGACAAACTTGACAACTGACAGTCGTCAGGTTGTTTCCTCTGAGCCTGCAGAGCGATCAGTAACTTTCACATTTAGCGTCAAGTAAAGAAGAAACAGGCGCTTCACTGCACAGACAACCAAATATTTAAAATCATGTATACATGTGTCTAATTTAGACCAGTGTTTATATGTATCAAAGTGTCATAGCACCAGGCTACAAAAAGACCGGACATGATATTGAGATCAGCTTTTCTTTTGTGTAGTATTACAGTATTATCAATAGCATCACATGCAAAATATGTGGAACTGACATCATCTCTGCTCCTCAGGCTGAAGGAACCGAGGTGATCAAGACCCACAACTGGCTGCTCTGTCCCAAAGGTCAGCGTGGTCAATGACAGAGATTCTTCCCCACATCATCATGTCAATCTTTTTGACATCTTTGTTTGCATACTGAGTCCTTGTTTTTGTTCTTCTCTGTAAAGGATTTGTTCTCTGTTTGCAGATGAGACTTTGACAGAGGAAGTAGAGATATCGCTCCCTGAGAATGTGATTGATGGATCTGCCCGTGCTCTTGTTTCAGTCCTGGGTAAACTGATGATTTCTCTTTGAGTGACCGGAGTGATTGTCTTTAAATTGTGCATCTTAACAGCTATTAACAGACTTTGATGTGTGGCGTTGCCCTGAAAGGATTTATGGACCTCTGTATTCATGGTTTTTACAAAGAGCTCGACTAGTAAGGTTGAGAAAAGATCGATGAACCCCAGTCACCAGCTCTTCTTAGGAAGATATTTCTCCTCAACTCATTTACAAGTTTTTAAGATGACTCATTTCCCAAAGTGTTCTTATCTTATCTGGGATTTGCTGTTACAACTTAAGACAACTCAACAAACACTCAAGACTCAGAAGCTTACTTACACACTTCTAATTACTGAAATGATCATTTATTTTGCACATTTATAATAATCAAATCCCAATGTGATGATTTCGAGTCATCAACGTGCCGTTTCTGTGCAGCTGTGTATCTGTGTGTTTTAGACTGGTATGTTGGTCGCACAGGTATACAGTATACGACACAGCAGACCATTAAGATGACAAAGTTATTAAACTGTGTTTTTTTTTCAAATGCAGTCCACTTTTATTTGAATCATGCAATGTTTGGTCTAACCTGAAAAATGTTAAATGATGAACAAACTAAGAACTTAGGTCACAATCTCTAAAATGATGTTAAAAAAAGTCAACAGTTATAACCTGCCTTTAGACGCAGATATTTATCTGCCAATCTGCCACACGTTCAATCATTTCACAGACGAATGAAAATTTTATCACAAATTATCCTCAAAATGTGTTCATTCTGAATAAATATATTTCTTACTTCTGTTTCACTTTCACCCTCAGATTTCAGATCAAACAATTTCATTTCTCTTAATAAGCACTCAGTTGTGCCTAAATGTCATTTCGAGTGTTTGTAGATTTTCTTTTTAGCTGAGAATAAATCCCAGATAAGAAACCGTTGGTGATTGTAAGAATGTAAAAACTGTGTAAGTGTGTTTCTGAGTGAGGCTCAGTGTTCTTGATGTGCTCAACATTTAACCATTTACAGGTAAATTAACACAAGTGATTACGTTTGCACCAAGAAATGAAGTCAGCGTTTTTGTTCAGGTGACATCCTGGGCCGAGCTCTGAAGAACCTGGACGGTCTGCTGCAGATGCCGTATGGATGCGGCGAGCAGAACATGGCGCTTCTGGCCCCGAACATCTACATCCTCCAATACCTAAAGAACACGCAGCAGCTGACCCCGGCCATCATGGAGAAGGCGGGCAACTTCCTGACCAGTGGTGTGTATCTGTTGTTTTCATATCAATGCAACAAAAAATATATATATATTATATCTCCTCCTTCTATCAACCTACCTCACTGTTTTTACTAACTTAAAATAAAGTACATGATGTGTTAAAAACTAAAGATTCCTGCAGGTAGGATAGTTATGCAGATGCAGTATGATGGTTGTCATAATAACATCAAATATAGAAACCAATTGAGAAACACACCTAAACAAAAAAAATCTTGTTGTAAGAGAAACCATGGCTCATACTGAGAGACTTAATGAAAGGTAATGTGAGATTATAAACATATCCATGACATTTATTAAAAAACATCTTAAAAAAGATGATTTATTGAGATATTATCATTTATTTGATGCTAAACTTTGATTTCTGAACGTGTTTCAAAACAGGAAACAGCTATTCTATAAGAAAACTTGGACAGCAGGCCACACATGGATGATAAGCCCCATGATGCTTTGATTTAATCTTTACTGAAGTAAAACATGTGTAGAGCAGATTTAAACACCTGCTGGGCCCGGTTGTTCAAAAGTTTAAAAAGGGTTTTGTAATGGATTTAGATCAGGTGATCTAATCCTGTTTTAACCTGATCAAATCTGAAGTTTGTGTTGTTTAAACCTTTGGGTGGGATTGTGATAACATCGATCATCCTGATCCCAGCAGAGGGCTGATTCAGACTACAGGGGGAAATGTGAGAAAGTGCACTGAGAGCAATCACAACAAACGTTAGCATACAGTCTAAATCGTGCGACGGTAGTAGAATATAGACGTCAACACCGCCTTCAACTTGATCACTGTGAATTCTCCTGAATATTTCCTGCTGTGTTCTCACATCAGCTCACACGTAAAGCAAGTTTTTCTGAGTTTTGTGCAAGTGTAGTTAGAGTGTGTGTCATCATCTGTGATTGTTCTACAGGCTACCAGAGACAGCTGAACTACAAGCATAGGGGAGGAGCTTACAGCACATTTGGAAGCGGATCAGGGAACACTTGGTGAGAACATTACTGAATCCTTTAAGTCTCTTGTTCTAATGACTTCTCTACAGAGAGACAGGAAATGTGAGGAGACAGTGGGGTATAATGTGCACCAAACAAAGGCAGGATGGGGAGTAAAGAGGTTCATTATCTGGAATAAACAGACACCCTGCAGCCAATCAGAATCAAGTATTCACTTAGATTACAGTGTAACTTTGTTTAATGTCCTCAGGCTGACGGCTTTCGTGCTGAGATCCTTCGCCAAAGCACGGTCTTTCGTCTTCATTGACCCAAAAAATATTGCAGAGTCAAAGTCTTGGCTGGTTCGCAGACAACATGAAAATGGTTCTTTCCAACAGTCGGGGAAACTCTTCAACAACAGAATGAAGGTAAACACAAACTGTGTAGAAATGACATAAGACGAAAATGGGTCAAATTCAAAATAGAAAATATCTTTATCGGCATGGGAACATATTTACATTGCCAGAAATTTATATTTTTTATAAACTTTTGTGTAATTGTCATTGGACATCCCTGTCACAGTAAATACAAATCTCTGTTTGCTCTCTCTCTTCAGGGCGGCGTCTCTGATGAAGTGACTCTCAGTGCGTACATCACTGCTGCCTTCTTGGAGATGAACTCATCCAGTAATGTGAGTAGAGACTTGTTCAAGGACAAACAGCTTCGTCGTTGTTTTCTTATTTCTATTATGAAGTGTGACTCCTGGAGTGAAATTTGTCCCAGACATCGACTGACACACAGCACACCTGTGCTCTAACATCGATGAATGCCATGTCCTTTTCAGCACACACGCGCGCGCACACACACACACACACACACACACACACACACACACACACACACACACACGAATGTCACAGTGGGTCACCAGAATAAGAAAAAGCAGTTTTACTTTGTTTACCTCACGTTCTAAAACACATCCTTTGTGGACTTATTCTCTGGAGGCTGACGTGATTTGAATCAAGCAAACTTTTAATTTCTTCTTGACTTACCCATGAAAAGTACGTCTTTATATAAGAAACAGTTTTGTCATGCTCATTTAACCTCAGGTGTCGGTGCCTACAATCGTTTATTCTCAGCATGATAGCTCACCCATTTTACGTTTTGATCCTTCTTTGTGACCCAAACAACCCATAGTTGGTCGGCCATTCTGGCATTTGACCAAATCCCAGATGGTCAGACTGTCACTGGCCAGTGTATTGTGTTTTTCTGCTGTTCTCCCTAATTAAAGCTGCAAACTCACTTCAGTCAATTAACGGTTAGAGTGCAGGAGGACTGTCAGACAGATATTAGCATGTCTGTGGAGAGGGGCAGAAATGAGCAGTCAGAATCATTTTACACCAACCAGGAAAGAAACAATGGGATCAAGTGTTTGCATGGATATTGATCTGAATAACAAACAGCATTCAGAGTCTTCAGATTGGCCTTTCTAACCTGATCAGGCTTTATTCTGATTCTTAGAAGTGAATAAAAGCAACTGTGAGTGTTTTAACCCCTCATATTTTAATTCTTCATTTATTACAATGATTACTTCCTTATCACATTTTTTTTTTAAAATCTTTGCAGGATCCTGTGGTGAAAAGCAGCCTGTCCTGCCTCAGGGAGTCCATCAGTGACCTCAGCAACACCTACGCCACCGCTCTGCTGGCGTACGTCTTCACCCTGGCAGGTGACATGGAGACCCGTGCTCACCTTCTGAGACACCTTGACACAGTTGCAATTCAAAAAGGTGAGTCGTCCTCCTCAAGAAAATCCCTCTGGTCTCGTTACTGTGACAGTATCTCACCTCGTGCCTGTTTGTTCTGTTTGTGTTTTCAGGAGGTTACCTCCACTGGTCTCAGACCGCTGCAGACACCTCGTCCTCTCTGTCTGTGGAGATCAGCTCTTATGTGCTGCTGGCCAAACTCAGCGTCTCTTCTCCTACTGCTGAAGACCTGGGATACTCCACCCGCATCGTCAGATGGCTGACCACTAAGCAGAACTATTATGGAGGCTTCTCCTCCACACAGGTAACCCTCAAATAGAGTCAAAGTGGACTCTTCTAAAAAGAGAACTATGTTGCCAACAATGTTATCAGAAAAGCCCATCAAGCCCAAAGAATCTCTTTAAAATAAATAAATAAAATATAATAAAATTCTCATGTTCCTGGTTGTAGGACACAGTGGTAGCTCTGCAGGCTTTGGCTCTCTACTCCACCCTGGTGTTCAGTCCAGGAGGTTCCAGCACGGTGGCGGTCCAGTCTCCCAGCATGCAGCTGGTCTTTGACGTGAACCAGGACAACAAGCTGCTCTACCAGGAGCAGGTGCTGATGGGCGGGGCCGGAAAGTACAGCCTGCAGGTGAAGGGTTCGGCGTGTGCTTCAGCGCAGGTCAGTAAACGTGCTATTTGTGTTATTAGGAACAATTTGTTTCCACATGATTACCTGGACCCTCAAGAGGATTCTATATTGTATTACTTAATTTGATGGTACCAAAGTTTCATTTGATTTGTTCTTATTCAAACAACTTGTAATCTGCGTCACTCACCATCTTATATTCTTGTTTTGTTTGGGAGTAAATTTACATTTTAGGCAAAATACTGTTCATGGACATTACATGTGAAACATTTAAGAGCACACAAGTTTATGAATGAAGTCTAAAGTACGAGTACATATTGTTCTTACATTACAACATTTCACATTTGATCCATTTAAAGGCACATGTGATTTTTTTGTGTGTTAGAACAAGTCAAAGGGAAAACATCTTTTCTGATATTTGAAATGAGTTTCTCACAGTAACAGCGTCCGGTGTAAATCAGTAAACATTTGGCTTTTAAAAGCTGCAAAGACAAAACTTCAGTCAAAATCAGGTGAGAAGAGTTGAAGATTGTTGTGAACTTGTTTTCCAGATTTCTCTTCACTACAACATCCCAACTCCTACTGATGTCAGCACATTGATGGTGGACGTCCAACCAGAAGCTGACTGTGCCAGCGCCTCTAACAGACGCAGGCTTTCCCTGAAATTCAAGAGCTTGTAAGAGGCCAATTTTCCTCCAAATAATTGCATAATGGATCATTCACATACATGCAAACAGCACAGAGGCACAGTTAGAGAAAGATTTAAGACTTGTTGTGTGTTAGTGTTAATTAGATGATTTCTTTTTGACTCATTTGCATTTGCACAAGAATTATCTGACAAAACCTATAATCAATCTAGTCACCTCTTTGTTAGACTTTAGACTTTAGAATTTAGACTTTATTGTCCCCAAGGGGAAATTCTTTTCCATTTCACAGTACAGTTATGGACAGCACGCCGACAGATAATAACAGATGAACAAACACAACAAGATAACATGCAGAAAAATATATAGACAGAGTGGGACTGGGGTGTTTTTATTTTGGCCTTTTGTTGAGGGCTGCTATGGCTGCAGGCACCAGGCTTTTGCCATAACGAGCCCTCCTGCACAACAGGGACCTGTACCTGCGTCCAGAGGGCATAGTGGTGAAGTGGCAGTTGAGTGGGTGTGTGTTGTCCAGTGCTATTGTAAGTGCGATGCGTGAGATGGCCTTGAGATTGAGCTCTGACAGTGTGGGTGTGGGGAGACCAATTAATTTGGCAGCTATGTTTGTGACACGTGTGAGTTTGACCTGGTTTTTGACAGTGAGCATGTTAAAGAAGCCAGTGGAACAGTAGAGCAGGATGTGCTGGACAATACTTTGACACAACAGCAGGAGGAGATGGGGGCAACATAGAGTCCTTTGAGTTTAAGGATGGCATACAGTCTTTGATGGCTCCTTTTTTGAATGTCCGTTGTGTGCTGGTCGAAAGTGAGTTTATTGTCTAGTGTGAGTCCGAGGTATTTGAAGCTGTCAACTGTTTCAACTGTATCCTTGTTGATAAGAGTGGAGGGCTGGGGTGATAGGGTACCTATTGTTATTTCTTTTGTTTTGGCTACATTGAGATGGAGGAAGTTATGTTTACGCCATTGGGAGAAATGTGTGACAGTGTTATGGTAGTCTGATACAGAGTTATTGTCCGATAGGAGAGCGAGGATGGCAGTGTCGTCAGAGTATTTGAGGTAGGTGGTGGTGTGAGAGGGGCTGGTGCAGTCATTGGTGTACAGGGTGTAAAGGAAAGGGCTTAGCACACAGCCCTGAGGGGCTCCGGTGTTGGTGATGAGTGTAGGTGATGTTGTTGTGCCTACCTGAACAGCTTGCCGCCTGTCGCTGCGGAAGTTGTGCAGGAGATGGATCAGAATGGGTGGAGTGTTGAGGTTATTTAGCTTCTGGATGAGCAGGTGCCTTTGGATGGTGTTGAACGCGGAGCTGAAGTCCACGAAGAGGATCCTGGCGAAAGTGCCTGAGGAGTCTAGGTGCTGGAGGTCAAGATGCAGCAGGCAGGCGGCAGCGTCCTCTGTGCCCCTTTTTTCCCTGTATGCGAATTGGAGGGGGTCCAGTTAAGGTTTTTCCAGGCATTTCATTATTATGGGTGTGACGGCAATGGGGCGGTAGTGGTTTAGTTCGGTGGGTCGTGGTTTCTTAGGTATAGGGATTATGGTTGCACTTTTCCAGAGGAGGGGTATTGTGGCTGTCAGGTATGATTCACAGAAGAGGGAGTGGGCAATTGGAGCCAGTTCTGTGGCACAGGTCTTCAGCACCCTTGCTGGGATGCCGTCGGGTCCTGGAGCCTTGGATGGATTACACCGGCTGAGCTGGTGGTGAACTTCCTCCACTGTGAAAGGGGCAGGCTCATTGGGATCTATTGGGGGGAGAGCCTTCAGGGCTTTCATGGACTCATCTGAGATTTCAAAGGCTTCTTTTGTGTTCATGTTGCTAAACTTGTGCTCTAGTTTGTTTTTGAATTGTATCTTGGCCATGAAGATTTTATTTTTAATATTACGGTTTTCAGATCTGAGACCGGCTGTGTCATTGAGTCTGAAGGCTGTGTGCTTCTCTCTCAGGCTTTTTTCAATTTCAGAGGTAATCCATGGTTTGGAGTTTGGGTATTTCTTTGACTTTCACTGGTATGGTGGTATGTATTCAGAAATTGATGTAGTCAGATATGTCAGTAACTTTGGTGATCAAATCTCCGTCGAAGATATTCCAGTCAGTGCATGGCAGGGAACCTTGGAGTTGTGCAATGGAGTCCTCCGACCATTGTGGGGACTGTAGGACTGTGGATGGAGACGTTTGAGTACTTGTTTGTACAGCGGAAGAAAACAGATGACGTTGTGGTCTGCGAGTCCGAGCGGTAGATATGAGTTTGTCCTGAAGGCGTCTGAGATGTTTCCATAGCATAAGTCCAATATGTTGTTTCTTCTGGTAGGAATGTCAACATACTGCTGGAATGTTGGGAGCACGGAGTCAAGTCTGCAGGTGTTGAAGTCCCCCAGGATAAGCACCGGAGCTCCGGGGTACTTAGCTGCCATAGCATTAGCATCCTCGGCTACCAGCTCTGCTGCTACCTTGACGTTAGCGATGGGAGCGATGTACACACAGCTGACCACAACAGTTGGGAATTCCCGAGGGAGATAGTAGGGGCGAAGGGACACAGTGAGCATTTCCAAGTCGGGCAAACAGACCCTCCAGTGCGTTTTGATGTTGCTACACCACCCTTCAGTGATGTAGAGACAGACCCCGCCACCTCTCGTCTTCCCCGAGTTCCTGGTTCTGTCTGACCTGATGATGGTGAAGTTGTCCAGGCTGACCTCGTCATCGGATACCGACTTGTCCAGCCAGGTCTCAGTCAGGGCGATGATGCAGATCTCTCTGAAGGCCCTTTCCATTCAGCACCGGGCGTGAAGCAGGTCCATTTTGTTCCGGAGGGAGCGGACATTCGAGAGGATGATTGAGGGGAAAGGAGACCTGAAAGGCCGTCTCCTTAATCTGCTTCGGACACCTCCGCGTCTCCCTCTTTTTCTTGGCCGTAGCTCCGGTGGGATAGCTACCGCTGGCTGAGCTACGGTGAAGCAGGAGTTCATCGCGGCCAAAGGTGAGTAACCCGTTGACAGTGACAGGTTTTAGTGCGAGGCTATCGCAGATCAGCCATACAATAGTAACAGGGATGATGAATGATTTGTAGAGGGTGATCATGTTTAACCGGTCCAGGTAACATACATACACAGACAGTGAGACATGACGTGCGGCCGAGCGAGGTACAGTGAGTGCTGTCACAGCAGAGCATGCGCCAAAGGAGCCAGCATGCGCCAATTTATCAGGCTATTACCCAATAACTGTTGTGTGAAGGAGCTTATAATAACAGTGCATGGAGTTCAGGTTAAGGCCCTGTGAGGGATATTCTTTTTAAGTAACTAGTTTACTGCTGTGTACAGATACAGTGGAGAGGAGAGCACCACAAACATGGTGATCCTGGATATCAAAATGCTCTCTGGATTTGTCCCAGACCCAGAGTCTTTGAAGAAGGTCAGTTAATACCTCATTGTTGACCAGAGTGATGATGATGTCATCATGATGGTGATGATAATCCAGTCGGCTGTTGTCTCCTCACAGCTCAAACGTGCCGAGCTGGTGGATCGTGTGGAAGAGAAGAAAGATCATGTTATGGTTTACTTTAAGGAGGTGAGAGGAGTCAAAGTGAGAAATAATAATACTTAATGTTCTGCAGATTAGTTTCTAACAACATTGTCTGTTTGTTTTTCCTTGTAGTTGCAGAAAGACATCCCCATCAATCATGAATTAAGGCTCATACAGGAGCTCCCAGTGCAGAACCTGAAGCCAGCTGTGGTCAAGATCTACGACTACTACCAGCCAAGTAAGCCAGATAGACATACTTTGCACCCAAACCCTGAATCGTTCTGCTAAACACCAAAGCCTTTGTCTTTAAAGTACCTTCAAATCTGTAATAGAGTCTTAAAAGTCACTTCTGTTCGAGGTGGGATTGGGTATCTCAAAGCCAGAGGTAGCCAGAGCCTCACTAGTATAAAACAGCTGTCTGCATCAGGAAAATAAAAGTAAGCTTCTAGCATGCAGAGCTGTTTAGGCATTAGGAGAAATAGGGTGCTCAGTCAAATTTGCAGAAACATTGCAGAGATGAGCCAAAATTGCAAGGTGCTTCCCTCCACAATCTCTTATTGCAACAACAACAAAGACAAAATGTCTGTGTTTAGTTTGCTCATTAGTTTGTCTTCTGCTTTTGATTGGTTTCTAATTCTTTTTTCCTCTCAGGTGACCAGGCTGAGACTCAGTACATCTACCCTTGCATTGCAGGTAACAATGTGTGAGAGAGTGGATTTCTTTCCAAACATTAAGTTGTTAGATTTTTATGCCAGGGAGCTTAATCTTTAGTCGTTTTCACACATGCATTCTGAAGGATTTCTAGAAAATTTTAGACAGGCTGAACCCCAAAATCTTCCAGAGTTGGTTGTTCACACATGCATACAGTCTATGGTCCTGTGCCGGTTGCAGGATGTCATCGCCCCCTCCTGCTCGCTGGCTGTGAATTTTCTGATTATGTTCTGCTGCGTTCACACATCAGCTCACCCAGCAGTAAAGTTACTAGGGGGCTAGTAGGAAAATGTCTGAGTAATGTCTTCTATCAATTAGTCCTTTAGAAGAAAACATCTGAAAAAATAAATGGAGCCCAGGTTTAAAAAAAAAAAAAAAGTCCATGAATGTGTGAAGAAACCAAAAAGTGACTCATTTTGCTTTTCATTTGCAGCCTGAACACTGATGTTGTCTCGATGCTCCCAGTAAGATTCTAAATAAACCTCCATTTTATTCCAACTTACACATGGATTTGTGTTATTTTCATGTCTGCTTGAGTGTGTTTATTTTGTTATACCAGCATTTATTTATTTTTGAAAACAAAAAAGGTCATTTCCTTTTTGTTTTCAAACCTGCCGTGCTAAATACTTCAAACAAACTGCTCCCACTGTGATACACAGGTGGCGATCTGCGTCGCTCTTTCCAGAGCACAAAGAACTCTCAGCAAGCATGGCGTATCCTGGAAGGGTCATATTATCACGCTTACATTTGACTGACTTGGAACAGAATACTGAATCTATTTCAACTTCACTCAGACCACACCACAGTCTAACGTGAATCAAGCCACCCTTTTAATTGTACTTTATTAAGCATTTCTTGAAAATGTACAAAACAGATAAAATATGGCATCATTAACATCTTACATTCTATACAGAAATGCAGAGGGAAACAGCTGTCATGTAAATAATTATCAGTACTTAATTTTAAAATATACAAATGAAATTCTGGATTAGTTTTGTGTTGTTGTTTATTTTGGTGTTATTGTTATGACCTTAAAAAGGTTTTAAGTGGACCCAAAAGAAAGACCGGAAAACAGGGAGGTGGGTGAAGGGGTATTTATTGAGGTGAGGCTGGTGAGGCTTGAATGAGAGGCTGGGTGGTGAGGTGCTGGAGCTCATAGGTTGGAGGCACTGGGAAAAAAAGAAGACAAGGGATAATTAGTCAAAGGTAATTCAAAAGTACAGATAGTCTTGCTGTTTTTGAAAAGCCGATCTACCACGGTGTAGGCGGAAATAATCTGGCAGCTTGGGAGAGGTGAACCAGGGTATAAATGCTGCAGCCGGTGATTACAGATGACAATCAGGTGAGTGATTGCAGAGAGCTCCAGCAGCCAATAAGCCACGCCCAGCCTCTGAAAGAAAAAACACAAGCACCACAGTATCCCCCCTTCAACGGACGCCTCCTTGTGCGGATGTTCATGATCCTGAATGAGTTTTCTGGAGATCCATGACCGTTCCTCCGGGCTGTAGCCCTCCCAGTCCACTAAAAACTGGTACCCCCGCCCTCTACCCCGAACATCCAGATCTTACTCATTGTGAAGGCTGGGTGGTTGTCAATGAGCCAGGGGGAGGAGGGGCAATGGCCAGAGGGCTAAGATCACTGGAAGAGACGGGCTTAAGCGGAGATACATGGAAGGTGGATGTATTTTCAGGGAAGCAGGGAGCTTTAACCTGACAGATACAGGATTGATGATCCTCTCAATCGCAAAAGGTCTAATGTAACGGGGAGCTAGCTTACGTGACTCGAACTGAAGGGGAAGGTCTCGGGAGAAGAGCCACACTCGCTGACATGCGGCCCTGACATGTCTCTGATCCGTCTCAAATGTTCTTGCACAGAAGGGTTTGCGACCTCCTCCTCCTGGGTAGGGAATAAAGGGGGTTGGAAACCATTAGCTGCCATGAAAGGTGACATACCTGTGGCCGAGCAGGTGAGGGAGTTGTGGGCGTATTCAATCCAGGGCAGATGTAAACTCCAGGAGGCAGGGTGATGTGCCGTGACACAGCGGAGGGCTGCCTCCAGGTCCTGGTTCGCCCTCTCTGTCTGGCCGTTGGTCTGGGGATGAAAGCCTGAGGTGAGACTGACTGCTGCACCCAGAGAGTTGCAAAATGCCTTCCAGACCCGAGAGGAGAACTGGGGGCCACGGTCTGAGACAATGTCAACTGGGATTCCATGGTGTTTGAAAACATGGTTAACGAGAAGATTAGCTGTCTCGAGGGCTGAGGGCAACTTGGGCAAAGGCACAAAATGAACACTACTCGAAAAACGGTCAACAATAGTAAGAATTACCGTTTTACCGTCAGAAGGAGGCAATCCTGTCATAAAGTCCACAGCTATGTGAGACCAGGGGCGACTGGGGATGGGTAAAGGGCGCAGCAGGCCAGCAGGGGGACGGTGTTAGGCTTTACCCCGGGCACAGACAGCCACAAACTCCCTGGTGTCTTTAGCCATGCTCGGACACCAGAAGTGTTGTCGCAGGAAGAGGAGTGTTCTGCTAGAACCTGGATGACATGCGAGTTTACAGGAATGTCCCACAACAAAAAGGCAATTGGGCGGTCCTGTTCCAGGGTCCGGCTGGGTCTTTTGAGCCTCTCTCACAACCGCCTCAATATCCCAAGTGGCTGCTCCAACAATGCAGGGAGCAGGTATGATGGGTTCCAGTTCTTTAGAGCTTGTGTCGGGCGAATGAAGTCGTGAGAGGGCATCCGGCTTCACATTCCGAGAACCTGGCCGGTAGGAGAGGGTGTAGTTGAACCCACTGAGGAATAGGGACCAGCGGGCTTGACGGAGTTAAGATGTTTGGCTGAACGCAGGTACGAGAGGTTTTTGTGGTCCGTCCAGATCAAAAAAGGGAACGCTGATCCTTCCAACCGGTGCCTCCATTCTTGTAGGGCCCACACCACTGCCAGCAACTCTCTATTCCCCACATCATAATTCCTTTCAGTTTCACAGGACAGGAAGCCAGGAAGTGACCAGCTTGGCCACAGTGAATATACAGCTTGAGGTGCATGCGTCGTTGGCGTTCACTGGTAGTCAGGCAGGCTCTTCTCAATTGCATGGGCTCCTCCGAAGCTGCAAGGGGAACTAGAGGATTAGTAGGTGGAGCAGGGGGAGGACTGGGAGTCCGGGAAGCCCGAGTGTGCAGGGTGGGAGCAAACCTGCAGGGTCGGCTAACTCTCTGGCCCTTTTTCAAACCAACCCCTACACCCTCCGTGACGGAGTGCACTCCATTAGAAGTCACACTCGCAGCTGAATGAATTCCCCTTCATCAAGGTGGAGGGTAGAAATACAGCGGCAGGCTTTGGGAAAAACTAACCACTCTCAGGTGGAAACAGGAACTGTATGTTACCATGGTTACTCAGCGGTATCTTGCGGAACAGCTTTTTTTGTAGCCTAGATTATTCTTATTTAGTTATATTAGTGTAGACTTATAACAGAACTATTGAGCCTACATTGTTTATTGTAATTTTTAGAACAGGGTGTCCTAAATTAATGCAAAGACAAGGAGACTATTGTTGAACATAAATATTAACAGCAAAAAGCTGTCTGCAACATGATTTAATATTCTTTTGTTTTTGCGACAGTCCCTGTAAATATAAAACACTTTACAATAAATAAACATATATTTGATCCTCGGTAAATTACACATTTTAAGTTGTTAATGTCTGTATGATGATATTAAATGTCTCTTAGTTGGAGCAGTGTTTATAGACACTTGCACGAAACTCACAGGTTGGTTCATCCATGACAACCGGACACTATAGGCGTGGCACGTGATCCGAAAGTCGACATCGGTGCACACTCGCTGGTGGAGGGTTTTACAACCCACTACCACTCCCCGCTAGTTGGTTTGGGACGGACTTAATATGGAGGACCCTCCGCGGGGACGCGCAAACGGAGGGGTAGTGGGTAGGGAGAGGGTGTAGTGGCCGGTTTGAAAAAGGGCCACACCCTGTGTCTTTCCCTAAGCCTGTTATCAATCTTGATAACTAGAGAAATTATAATAATAACCTCGAGTGAATTAGGTTCATCTCGGGAAGCTAATTCGTCCTTAAGCTCCTCAGACAGACCTTTAACAAAAACTCCCATAAGTGCCGACTCGTCCCACCCACTCTCTGACGCTAAAATCCAAAAATCAACAGAAAAAGTAGCTACTGGCTGGGAACCTCGACGAAGAGACAACAGGTGTTTCGCTGCCTCCTGACCCTGAACAAGATGATCAAAAACTTTACATAACTCAAATGAGAATGAAGCAAAAGATTCTACAACTAGTGACTTATTCTCCCACAAAGCTGTAGCTCACTGACCTGCTTTACCCTGTAACAAGTTCATAACATAAGCTATCCTAGATCTGTCAGAAGGATAACTAGAAGGCTGTTGGTCAAACACTAGAGCGCACTGAAGAAGGAACCGGCCACAAAAACCTAAATCACCTGAATACTGTTCAGGTGGGGGCACAAATGGTTCTCTGAGGTGGGTGGGGGAGGGAGCTTGAGAAACTGGTGAAGCAGTAGGATTACTCACAGAGGTTGAAGGTGATGTACCAGGAGTAGCAGCTTGAACTGAAAGCTGTGTGAGCTGAGAGTTGATGTGGGAGATGTTCCTGTAAAGACTCTGTAGAGATTCCATAACTTACTGTAGCATATTGTCATGTCTTTCAATGAGGGCTCCTTGGCTGGAGAGGGCCTGGTGAAAATGGGCTTGGTCTATTGGGTCCATGGTGGCATGCTTGGGAGAGGTATGAATGCTGCAGCCGGTGATTAGAGATGACGATCAGGTGAGTGATTGCAGAGAGCTCCAACAGCCAATAAGCCACGCCCAGCCTCTGAAAGAAAAAACACAAGCACCAAACCAAAAGCAAACCAGGAAAAATACACAAAAATGTCCAACCACCACAGTTATGCTTTAAATAACTGTTTTATTATCCAATTGTATCATTTTGTTTCTCTTTTCACTGTGTGCATTTCCTTAATCTTGTCTTTGGTGTTTCCTGTGTTATTTTGTATTTCTTGCTTCCTCACTTTGTCTGGTTTCCCTCCACTTTGATCGCCCTGATTGTCTTCACCTGTGTTGTTGGTCTCACCTGTGTCTGATTACCCCGGAGAAAACGTCATGAGGTTAAGGAAAGATGTTAGGAGAGTTCATAAAGGACCTAGGGAAAGGTGATTGCGTTGCTTTGACAATCTGACCACATTTCCACTAGGCAATGTTATTCAAAACGACGGGCCGGCGGAGGTTAATGACGTGGGTCTGACGTGGTGAAACATTGTTCAGAAAATGGACTATTGAAAGTGAATCTAAAAAACTTTCCCCTGTGCCTTCTTACCGGTGAAATAATCCTAATTACTATAAGGTTGGGATTGAAATAAAATCAATATAGACTACCAGGCTACGAGTAACAAAAGTGAAACCACCACCTTCCTGTCCACTCATAAATCAACATCAAAATAAATATGATTGTAT